CAGAATCTTGTGCGTCGCGATCCCCCTTTCAAAATGAAAAAAAAAAAAGGTAGCTGCGTTTGTTTTGACGGATAATTAATAATGCGAATGCTTTTTGGCTACTAGTCGTACCATTAGACGATTATATAAGTATGTACTTTTGTATATGATAATTGATCTATAATTAAGATAAGCTTAAATACGACTGTCGTACGACTGAACGCAATGAAAATATGTATGTTTTGTTTGCGCAATTTCCAGCGAATAGCTCGTATAAACCCAAAATACACACAAAAACACACACCTATCAAGCACACGATTGTGTGTGTGCGTGTGTGTCTGAGTGCTTCAGATAGAACAAGAAAAAAAAGCTTAACTTTTAATGCTTTAATGGTTCATGCTAAGCATGAAGTCAAGGACAATAAATACGGAATATCATCGGGGGGTACGAGCAACTAATTGGTCGCCAGGCGGAACAGCAAATGTTCCCAATGCGACCGTGACGCTGTTTAACTGTGATTGATCAATCACACACACACACGCACACAATATAATATATGTAGGTACATTTTGTAATCAGTTTGTTTGCCATATCATAAGTGTGGCGAAAGTTTCAACAGTTTAAGCAAACAAATAAACAGCTATAAGCAGACTTGATCGAAGAGTCTTACGTTTCGAGAGACTATTTTCATATTTGTTTTTAGTGTTTATTTTAAATTTTTGACAATCAAATGAGCCTTAAGTATAATTAGTTGATAGAACTACAACAAGACTAAAGTATATGCGTGTTCTTTATAAAAATGGGTTTATCATGTTTAATATATATGTTTGGAGAGCTGTATTAAATGTATATAAAGTGGATATATTTATGTTTACATATATTTAAGAGAAAATGCAATTGGTTAGAAAAATGATTTGAAAAGCAAGTGCGCTCTAGAAATATATGTTATATATTTTTCTCTCATATAGTAAGGGACTGAATTGATTTGAAAACTTTCTAACGAACTAGGTATTAAAATTTACCTACAAATATTGAGTTATTTAAAGAGTTCTAATCAGTTAGACGTAAATCAATCGAACAATTTGCAAGCGTTCCAAGTTCCCTTTTAGCCCCACAAATTATAATATATTATACGATAATTATGTACAAATTTACGGTACGTGATTGACGTGTGTGTGATTAAAGCAAAATATGTTGACAAGCTGAGCATCATTTAGGTTTTTTAGGTAAGAGAGTGTATGTGTTTGCGCAGTTAGATATTTTAGCTTGGAGGCTATATATATATATATACATATCTCTAGACTACTTCAATTACTCCAACAGACTGTTGTTGTTGTTGTTGTGGTTGTTGTAGTTGTGGTTGTTGCTGTTGTCAACCGCAAGTTGTAACGGCTACATCAACCCGTTTCTGCGCTCGACCTCAGCGCAATGTTGTAGTTAAGATACGACGACGACCTCCTCTTCTTGTTTTAAGTATTTAATTTTAGTTTTGTTTTTTTTTCTTTTGTTATTTTTTTTTTTGCTGGTTTTAAGTAACTTTGCATGTCAGGCAATGAGACTGACAGAGCGGCGGCGTGTCAACAATCTTGCCAGCTAATTGTACTAAAATTTATTTATTTTTTTTTTAAATGCCGATGACGCTAGAAGTTTACGTAGCTTGTAGCTTATTTCATCTGGAAACTGGAAAACAGACTCGAAAACGAATTGCACTTTTGCATGCAACCTTCGACTGTAGATCAATCAAAAAACGAAATATGAAATGTTCGCTTAATGTGCGTGTGTCTGTGTGTGTTGTTTAACAACAAAACGTGAAAGCTTTCTGCGAGTGATATTCACACATAGATACCCTGTGCCGCTGTTGACAGAAGTCAGCTGCTTGAACGATTGTTATGATTATTATAGGAAAAATGCGAACTCCGGAATCGATTCAGATTTGATATATTAAGTCACCTTTAAGAGAAGATGAAGTGTGAGAAGAGGTGAAGAAGTTTGCCAAGGAAATAATTTTATTTTCTTTAAGAAAATTTCAATGGCATCTAGTATTGTCTAGTATATATATATGCACAAAGTAAAGCACAATTTTAAACCAAAAACTTTGTTTTCATAATATCGAAAACGAAATGAACACGCTTTTATTTATCCAAAACTTTTTGCTATCTCCACAATATCATCTATAAGAAATCCTTTTAAATGTAGCTGTTATTATGATCGCAAAAGAGATGAGAACTTTTCAAATATATCTAACATAAGAAATCCTTATGAAGTTTGAAAAGAACGTGAGAACTTTTCGAATATATCTGCTGTAAGAAATACTTATTGAGTTTGAAAAGTACGTGAGAAGTTTTCGGACATATCTGCTTTATGAAATTCTTTAAATTCGAAAAGTTCACACCTCCCTAACAACAGCTACACCTAAAACGATTTCCCATAACAGATATTGTCTTCAAAATTTAAATTGGTGTACTCCACACACTTGCCCATCCACCCATTTGATGTATCTTCAATGGTACAGGGTATACATGAAGAAAAAAAGTGACGTAATTAGCACTTCTGGTATTCGTACATTTCGCAGATTCGTTATCGCGGATGCCACCTCCCGCATCGCGTTTGCTAATGAGAGAGTCGACCCACTTGTGAAGACGGATATGTGCCTAGTTAATTTGCATTGAATGTAAGACCTTTGAACGTGTCGACAGTGTATTTGCGTTTATTTAACTGGTTTAACTGCGTATCTTGGCATTTTTCTGCTGACCAATCGGGTCAATAAACCCAACAAAATGAAAATAATAGTACGAAACAAAGGAAAAAAAAATGAAAAGAAAAAAAAAAACAGAAATAAAAGAAAGCACATCCAATGTTTTTATTGCTGAGCCAACATAAATGGACATTGTATAATGCTTTTCCAGCGCAATTCGTTTCAGAATGAAATTCGTACGCTCTGCAGATTGTCCATCTCAAATATCATCAGCCGAGCATTGTAACTGCCCTAGTATTCCACTTAGATCTCAACTCAGATCACGCAGTGTCGTGACTTATGTGCGCCCTTCTACGCGCTTCGTAAACAAATACCAAGACAATTGTCACCCCCCTCTGTGCGTGCGTGTGTGTGTGTGTGTGTGTTTGTTCTTATATAGATCCGACTTCTCTGATAGCGTAACTTATATCTATTTTAAATTATGTTCAATTGAGTGCGCTGCGCTTCACCTATATGCGGTTATATGACGTCAATTTGTGTTATGGTTTCACAAAGAAAAACAACAACAACAAAAACGAAAATATGAAGAAAACAATAGAAAAATAAACAAATCAATAGCCTCGATAATATTTAGGAAAGTTTGTTATCAATTGCGTCGCATTTTGTAAAGGGCAGCGCACAATACAACTACAATAATAATAATAATAATAATAGTAATAATAACAATAAAGCTGCAAAGAAACGTGATATGGCATATTGAAAATTATTGATTCAATGAAAAGAGATCGCGATATCGGTCGTTGGATCGTTGGATCGATCAATCGATCGTTTAGTGCAAAGAAATTCTTGCCAAAAAAAAAAAAAATCAAATACAAAATATAATGTTTCCCCTGCTTTTGCTTGTTGACTGCCATTCACATTTCTCCCGCCGCTGCCCCCCTTTCACCCGCCATTTACTAATTCAATGATAAAATGTCAAAAATCAATAACAATAAATAAACGATAAACGAGAGTGTGACACTGTACTTTGTATCCAAAAAAAAAAAAAAAATTGTATTTTAGGGGCTGTCCCTGACACTCGCTATGCGTCTCGCGGTCTCCTCAACTGTCCACAATCTATTGCTAATCAAATTGCAATTTTTATAAATTTACCTAAAACTCTATTGAAAAATGCGGCGTCATATTAAATACAATCAGCATAGATGATATTCGACATGTACATACATATGCACACACACACACATATATATATATATATATATATATATAGCAGCCGATAAGGACTGAGTAAACAATTTTCATATTATCCAAGTAAAAGTCCAAACTGGCACATACTAGCAAAAAAAAACCCAACACAGACACAAACTAGGGCTAAATACGTGGTATATAGACTTTGATATAATATTGCAGGTATTTTATTTATATATCTTATATTAAAAGCTAAGTTAACCCACATTTTAACATTTAACAAGTAAGAACGGCTATTTGACATGACGAAGATTAAATACACTTGTTGACGTTTGGCTGAGAAGTGCCTATTTCCGATAGTTCCATATAACACAGTAGTACGATTTGATATGGTATGCGGATATGTTAGAAAAATAATATAACAAAAAAAAAACAGTTTTCCATATAAGTATTCATTCTGCGACCCATTTTTCTTCTAGCGTTATATTATCTAGTAATCCGATGTTGATGAGATATTGCTCTTTTATAGAGAGCATGGTAAAACTTGGAAATGATTCAGGAAAGAACAGTATTATACAAGAACTTAAATCATTAACAATGACAACTATATATATATAGTGTTTCGATTCGGGCTATGCCGATATAACCGAGAGACTAGTTTGCATAGACATTGCATTATATATATTTCCTGACAAAACTTGAATGAATAAAATAAAAACTATGCCCATTTCTATGACTCATTAACCGAGTAACATATTAGCACATTTACGATCCACATTCGATCCACTTGCGATACTTTTTGGCATTATCAGGCTGAGCAGCACATATTTTTTATCAACCATTAAATAAGTTACCCTCCACATATGATCCACAAGGCATTTACACCTCACATACCCGACCAGACGACTAATCGAACTAGATAACACCCTTAACTACATTTTTTTTATCAGCAAAAGGTCAGTTACTAACCTTGGCCAATTGTGGGCAACATTCAGTTCACATGGAACTCACACCGCATTCCAATCACATGCGTCTGCACCCATTGAATAAGTAAAAACCCAATTATATCGTGTAACAAACATATCTATATATGTCACATAGGTGTTAATTAGGCTTTTGCGATCTCTTTAATTACAGAAATCGACAAGAAGTGCTCGGCGTTTGTATGCCCGGAAAAACCAGATACGCCTCAGTGCCCCGATGATAGTAGCACTGAATTTAAGCCGGTGTCCATCATTCAGCCCGATCTGCTGGAGCTATGCTGTGCCAAGAGCTATTGCAGCTGCAACAAATGCCCAGAGAAGCCCAAATGTAAACCGGGTCAAGTGCTAAACGAACTGAGCCAAGGCAATGGCAAGCCAGGCAGCTGTTGCACCGAATATCAGTGCGGCATGGAGCCGAAATGTGTGCGCGGAATCGGCATCACCTACTGGCGGGATGAGTGCACCAAATGCAACAGCTGCCAACCGCTGTGCCAGTTGGTCTGCCAGTCGGACAGTGCACTAAGCAACTGTCTGACTGATGATGAACAGATCGTGATGAACGGGGAGCAGTGGTCACAGGGCGATGGCTGCGAGCACTGCACCTGCAAGGATGGCATGACTGAGTGCGAAACGTACGGCTGCAAACAGCCGGAATGCACAAATTACATAAAAGTGCCTGGCGTTTGCTGTCCCGTTTGTCAAGACACGGCAAGTGTTACCACCGAAGCCGCCATTGCGCCGAGCAGCTCAACAATCAAATCAACTGCTCAGATCTCAAGCGAATCCATCGAAAACTCAACAGAGCCCTTTAATCCGGCAGAGGAACACGATATAAATAAACAACCGCCATTTAATGAAAACGGCATAGCTACCGAGAAAACATTGGATCATGATCAAGTTTTCGCAGAGCTCCCAAGCACAACTATATCGAGCAGCAGCAGTAGCACTCCCAGCAGCACCTCCAGCAGCACCCCGAGCACCACCTCCAGCAGCACCCCCATCACCACCTCCAGCAGCAGCACCCCCAGCAGCTCCTCCAGCAGCACCTCCAGCAGCACCTCCAGCAACATGCCCAGCAGCTTCCCCAGCACCACCTCCAGCGGCATCCCCAGCAGCACCTCCAGCAGCACCTCTAGCAGCACCTCCAGCAGCATCCCCAGCAGCACCTCCAGCAGCAGCCCTAGCAGCACCTCCAGCAGCACCACAAACGAATTGGATGAATATTCTACAGAGCTCACAGAGCTACCCCAAGTTGGTGTAGACAACAATGAAGGCGCGAAGAAACACATCTCGGCATGGAATGATTTTTCAACCGAGCCATCTGTCATTTCTGAATCTGCTTCCGAAACAAACGATTGGCTTACAGATGACACAACCAATTCTCAAGAGCTGGATAGTATTGAGGAGACAACCGAAGCAACTGAAGTAGTGGAACCGGAGCGTACAGATGACAACCTGGAATATACAACACTATCAGACGTAGACAACACTGAAATGAGCATCAGCAGCAGCAGCAGCAGCACTGAGGCCTCAACCACAAAGCATCCAAGTTCGTTGGCCACATCGGCACCCAACGCGCTGTCACCCGAATCGACCAGCTGGCATCACGGCTCAACCATCGAGGATGCCGATTATCGTTTCGCACTTGAGAAGCATAATGATGCAATATATTCATCAAATGAAAAGAAAGTATGGATTATGAGTATCAGCGCCCTTACGGCTTTATTTGTTTCAGTCCTGCTCATATATTATTGTGTTAAAAAGTGCAAGGAACGTAAATCGCTATATTCTTCGGTCCCGAATTCAGATTCAAATCTAAGCGAGAATACAACTACCTCTGATCTGGTTCTACGCATTGATCAGCCCTTGCAGCACAACATAGAGAAACAGAAGCAGCTAAAAGAGACAGCGGAATAATCGATTTCACAAAAAAAAAAATACATAAATATTAGTATAGATATACATATACAATATATATATATAAATATATGGTATATAGTGTATATTGGAAAATTTCATCGATGACTCTCGCCTAAAGACAATGCTCGCGCAGAATCAGCGATTTTGCAATAATTTCATAAACTTTAAACAAAAACGAACTACACAAAAAATTATTATAATTATTTATTAATTTATTTATGCATTGTGATAATATGGCAAATTATTGATATCACCCAGAGTTAAAGAAAAATCATCTAATTTAGTAAAACAATATAGTATTAAGTTGAGTTCATCCAGGGCGGTAGTCTGGCATAAATTTAACTTTCTAGAAAACTTCAACAAATTTATAAACAATTGTACTGCCCTGTTTGGGCTTAGCACTATTTTATAGAAGACTTAACATGTTTATTTATCAAATGTTGCCTGACAAATTTTATTAATCTATAAAGTGCGAGAACTGCACAAATTGGCCAGCTTAGAAGTAAGAAAACACGCACACCCACAAAAACGCGCTAAATAATTGTTTAAGAAAAGAAGATAAACTAAAGGAACTGCGTCGCACTGATTACACATTCCTTTTAAGCCCTTTTTTGATTTGAATTACATACTTCAACAAAAAAAAAAAAAAAAAAAAACACAAAAAAAAATGATATACCAAAGGTCTTGTTAGTAGCGTTCTCTCGTTTGGATAATTGCAATATATAGATAACGAATAAAAGATAACGAACTGAATAAAATGCGTCTGACTATAAACGGGGAATGTGGGTGACGGGTACTTACACCTAGGCGGGCGTTGGCACTACCGTCAACGCATCCAAATGTTGGACAATATTGCGCATTATTTGTGCAGTGCTGGAATCGGGCAGCTCATTTAAAACCGATGCGGTGCTCCCAGATAAAACGCCTACACGTGGATCGATGGGCAAGGTGCCCAAATGTGGCACTTGAGCCAAACGCGCCAGCTCTGCACCGCCATTCGAGGAGAATATGTTGGTGCATTCAGTGCAGTGCGGACAAACAAATCTAGAAAATATAGAAAATATATTAGAAACTAAATCAATAGGACTTGATTGCCTTAAATAGTAGCCAGCCTGTTGAACTTTATGCTGTATTAATTGCACTAACAGAATACAATTAATCACACTTAAAGCTTTCATGCGCCTGCATAGCTATTGTCTTGGATCATTTTTATTGTTTTTACCAACCCGCTCATATTCTCCACAATGCCCAGCAGTTTGATGCCTGTCTTTTTGCAAAATGTGATCTCCTTGCGTACATCATCCAATGCGACACCTTGTGGCGTTGTCACAATAATTGCACCATTGCAGGGCACCTCGCGCATGCACTCCATAACAGTAATGTGCTCATCCGAGGTGCCAGGCGGTGTATCAATAATTAAATAGTCCATTTCCTCCCATTTGACATCGGTAAGAAACTGACGTATCATCATGGTTTTCTTGGGTCCACGCCAAATTACCGGATCGTTGCGATTCTTGAGTAAAAATCCAATGGACATGACGGCCAGAGTTTTGCTCTCATCCGTATAAATGGGAACCCAACCATCCTCACATTGATAAATATCGCTGCCTTCAAGGCCAAGCAAATACGGCACGCTCGGGCCACACAAATCAATATCCAGCAAACCCACCTACCAATAAGAAACATTAATTCTATATGCACATGATTTGAGCGATGAGTGTGCAACTTGCCTTATGACCCGTTGCGCGCAATGCTAAAGCAAGCTGCGTGCTGACCGTTGATTTGCCCACGCCACCCTTGCCCGAGAGCACTACGATTACATTTTTAACTTTGTCCAGCATTATTAGTCAGAATTTAATAAATTTGTTAATGCGACTTTAGCTGCAACCAACAAGTGGATCAGCTGTTGCACAGGGTTGTGCAGACGATTTTCCCGCGCATCAGATATGCGAAAACGCATATCAGAAAACTGAAATATAAACCAAATATATTAATAATAACTTTATAAATCTAAGTTTTGTATTATAGAATGCATATATATGTTTATTTAGTTTATTATCGAATTATATTTGCTTATTTGTTGTGAGCAGCATACTTGGCTAAGTTAAACAAACGGTCTGGCAACACTACAACATATGGCAACGCTATGCCGTCACAACAAATCGAAGCAAATGTAGTTGCTGCCCGGCAAGTGTCAGATTAGCAGGTTTCTTTGCTCTCTCCGCTCTTCACGCGGCCGCGCAGCATGCTTATTAATTAACAACAGTGCAAACATTGATGCCGAAATCATCAGATAAAACATTGATCAACTGAAGTTAACAACTGTTATACACAGCAGGCGCTGCTGCCGGCTAGCAAAAAGCTAAAAATTCGGCGTCTTGGACAGCGGAGCATCTCAAAAACCGTGGAACGAATGTTGCGCAACCCTTTGCTCTGCCCGCATGCTAACATAACAACATTATCAGCCGAATCACGCCATCAACAAAGACGCAGGCTAACACTGATAATTGTATTTCGTGTTGCACAGACATGAAGAAACGCTCAAATTCACGTGGCACACCGACGGCCGGCGATGGGGAAGAGGAGCGTGCCAACTCCGGTGGTGACCAGAGCACCGCATCCACAAAGTACATATCCGGTGCGGCCAGTGCGCCGGCCACACCAATCAAACGCAACGATAATGGTAAAAGGCGCAAAGAAGAAATTGCCCAGACTTTCGTCATTGTCAACGAGCGACCGGTGGATGACATTTCCTTGGATTTCTTCTACAAGCCGCACACCATCACCCTTCTGGCCGTCTCAGTGCTGGCGGTCATGTATTTCGCCTTTGTCAGGTAAGAGACCAGAGAACTTGGAGATTAGTGCGCCAGTCGCGCACATTTATCGATCTTTCTATTTTTGGTTAAGCTGACCGCTAGGCGTCCACATTAACATTAACTTGGCCAACTGACCGTCAAATAGCAATTGTTGCGCCTCGGCGACATGTGCCAGTCAACCTTGGCTGACTTTTTAAGCACTTTCGAAATTGAGAAAACGAAATTGTCATTGTTAGTATATAGGGATGGGCGCGTGAGCACGAGAATTCCAAGCACGATAATGCTACCAATGTTTCGTTGTCATTCTAAAATGAATTGAAAATAATTTAATGAAATCTCTAGTTTCGGATCTACAGATGCTTTTCCAAACAATTTTCCTCTATTTATTTATTAAAAAAGTAAAAGTTCTATATATTGATGGGAGGAGCACGTGTCTCAATGTAAATAATATATTTCCAAATTGAATGTATTTTTTTTTTACATTAAATATTTAACCAATCAATAAAAAATAATGTAAAAATGACAGCAATAGCGAAGAACAAAGTATAGAGAAAAAAAGTCTAAGTTCCAGTTTTAGTACATTTCTACCACATGTGAGATATTTTGTCAAATTGGATAAGTTTATTACTTATTGTCCCTTAAAAGTACTCTTGCAATAGTTCTTATCGCTTACATTTCGTACTTTTCAAAATCACGTCGTGTCATCACGATCATCTCTAATTTAGAATAGAGCACAACTGAACGAACACGTTACTGATCGCGTTGCCAAATGTGTCGACAGGGTTATTGAAGAGCCGCCTCATGGTTCTGAAATAAATCTCGTTTTTATCAACAATACACACACAATCATTTCGATTTCATACAAAAGGTCACTTAACTCTGGGCACAGGCCGGTTCAAAGTCCGGCGCTGATTAGAGAAGCAAATCGGAAAATATAACGAAAACTAAAAATCATTATATTGACTACATAATTTAATTACATTCCCAGGAACGAGGCTAACATAGATGATAATCTTTGGTCGGGACTGTTATGCATTGTTTTCTTCTTTCTGATTATTTCGGTAATCGCATTTCCAAATGGACCATTCACACGACCTCATCCTGCAGTATGGCGCATCCTATTTGGCTGTTCCGTCTTGTATTTACTTATGCTGCAATTTCTCATGTTCCAAAACTATTCGACAATACGAAGTATATTCTATTGGCTGGACCCAAAGTTAAAGAACTTTCACATAGATATGGAGAAGGTAAGTAGAATCATATCAATAACATAATACATAATACATAAACCTTAATAGATTAATAAACAATTTTTTTTTGACAGGAATACGGCGTTAATTGCTCGGACATAAGCTGGGAACGGGTTAAGGGTCATTTGGATGTATTCGCCTGGGGACACTTTCTAGGCTGGGCCTTTAAGGCCATACTCATACGCCACATGGGCATTCTCTGGGCCATCTCGGTGATGTGGGAAATAACAGAGATCACCTTTGCCCATCTGTTGCCCAACTTTATTGAATGCTGGTGGGATGCGCTCATCTTGGATGTTATCATTTGCAATGGCCTTGGCATTTGGGTGGGCCTCAAGATATGCCAAATACTTGAGATGCGCGAATACAAATGGGCCAGCATTAAGGATATATCAACAACCACAGGAAAAATTAAGCGTGCCATGCTGCAGTTTACACCAGAGAGCTGGTCAGCCATACGCTGGCTGGATCCCAAGTCGACGGCAATGCGATTTGCTGCAGTTATCCAGTTGGTCATATTCTGGCAGGTCACCGAACTGAACACGTTCTTCTTGAAGCACATTTTCGAGATGCCGCCCGATCATTTTATTGTTGTTGGACGTTTAATATTCATAGGACTTTTTGTGGCGCCCTCGGTTAGGTACGTGATATCAAATCATTGAACTGTTTGTTTTTCTATTCAATTATTTTGTATTTTTTTAGGCAATATTATGTATACGTCACCGACACGCGCTGCAAACGTGTCGGAACCCAGTGTTGGGTTTACGGCGCTATTATGGTCTCCGAGGCCATTCTCTGCATTAAGAATGGCAAGGAGTTGTTTGAGCGCACGCAAGCCATCAACATTGTGCTCTGGCTGACCGTGCAGGTGCTAATATCGGTGTCATTCGTCTACGTAGCTGTCTGGTGGCAGGTAAGTGCAAACCAAAAGGTAAACCCACTTTTCTAGCATAATATATATCAATATTTGTACTTTCAACAGCAACGTCAACTGAAAAAGGTTTCAACGATTCCGGCTCTGAGTAAAAAACAAGGAGATAGTGCGCAAAACTCCCCATCTAAAGGTATATCTAGCACATTTTTAGACTAGCGGCTAACTATGTTTTATAAACACTGCAAACACTTTTGTATAACGTTACGTTAATTTATATTTTTCAATGGTTTTCTGCTCTTTGTGAAAGCTGCAACTTCAACTCACTTCACTCTCATTTTGAACTTTCTTTTACTCTCTTTGGAATTGCATTCTACGTGTTAAGCACATGTGCCACGAAGTAAATCCATTGATGGGCCTAGCACAGCGCACTACGAAATTAAAATTAAAATAGTCTAACTAAATTTACATTCATTTCCAAAATTATTATTTCAAACATTTTTGTTTTTGTTTTTCTAGGTAATTTGTCGCCGGCAAAAGAGAAGAAACTCAAATGAGGCCATTTTAGCAAAAACCAAAACAAAAAAAACTTAAAAAGCCGAACAACATTCAAATAAAAAGGCGATTCTATAATATGTACATACAATTTATGCAAACTGTACTGATTAAATTAAATTTATATTGTGTATGTGTATGTATAATTGATATTAAACCAACGAAAATTTGTTAATAAGCAAACGTGAAGCAAAAGAAAAAACACCTAAGCTCTAAAACTAGATTAATACAATTTTTTAATTGTCCACGTAAGAAACTTAAGAGCTATATAAGTAAATAATTAATATTACATATTACATTGTTTTCAAAGAATATTACTGAAACGTACTGTACAAAATACTATAGACTAAACCTCAAAGCATGCCGAAACTGTGTTTCTGACCGCATCTCGTGCGTAGGGTATATACGAGAGTGAATACCAGGTCATTGCCAGGGATTGTATGATTATGAATATAAGCGTGAGGCCGGCCTTTTTTAACTAAAAAACAAAACAAAGACAACAATTTAAAAAAAATAAAGAATAAAGATGATTCAACAAACTAAAAGAAAATAACAATATTATACCACAATAGCTGACACGAATGTCATGACAATGGAAACAATCACGATGCTGGTGGCGATCAGCCGAGTTTCGGCAAACATTTTCTTGATCTGCTTAATGGGACCCATGAGAAAGCACGTGCTGCATTCGGATAGAGAGATATATGAGCAATTAGCCAGCACATGCGAAATTCAGCTGTAAACTCACCTGGCCATAGACACCAGGTTGCCAATCGTGTAGAAAACGGCAAAGACAACAATGCCGCGATGCAGAAACAGGGCAATCGAGCCCAGAAAGGACAACACCATGCCCAATACAAAACATATGCAGAAGGCTTTGATACGGGTGCTCCAGCTTAGGGTTGACATATCATTCATCTGCAATTTATAAAAATAATAAAAAAAAAACCCGTTGATAAAGCGTTGAGTCACAGATCAGTCGTGTGATCGGGGTGGGCGGCGGTTTTGCAAGACCGAGTTTGCAATGATGAGGCCGAAAGATTGATGCATAATTGCATTTATTGAAAAATGTATATGAATTGTTATTTATTAATAAATGATAATTTAATTGATATGGTTTCACCTGTGTAATGATGCTGCTCTCTTCCTCCGGCGTGCGGTCCTCGCCACTTAAAACACGACGTAGCTTGTCCATTGCACCAGCTGTTTTGAATTATGCGTTAAGTATAAATGCTGCTAAAAATTTAAGCACCAAAACTAATGTAATTATGATTATTTAATTTATTTATCAGAAGAATACAAAAGGAAAAAACAAGATCGGAATGTATGATAGAGTAGGTTCTTTATTCAATAGTATCGATATTTCGATAAGAACAGCTGTCGACATTTTCGACCAACGTGTGGCCCACCAAACGACCCTTCTGGCAACTCTACCAGTCAGCTGTTGCCATGCTTTGCTCTTGGGTGCGAAACATAAGTAAAATTCCGAAAACAACAAAAATAACAACAAAATGTTATCAAATTGGTGAACAATTAAGATATTTGCGAACTCCCAATAGGGTGCATAGTGAAGTAATCGTGCCAGCTCCAGAAAAAGTAACACGACCTGAAAAGTCGAGAGAACATCACCTCACCGAACAAGACCAAAACCAAAGGGATGTTGCATTTGACTTTGGCAGCCGGGAGGCGCACGTGCCCACCTTTAATCTGGCTGCTCATGTGAACAGCTCCAATACACTGCAACAGCTACTCAGCCTGGGCGTTGATCTGCATAGCATTGAGCGGCGCAAGGGTCTGGGCCAGTTTGTGCTGCGCCTGGACTTCGAGCAAAATGTGAAGCCTTACTTGACATTCTTGGCGGATAACGGCGTATCGCCAGATGACTTTGGCCAAATGATTACAAAGAATCCACTGTTATTTAAGGAGGATCTGAATGATTTACAAACACGTGTGGCTTACCTGAAAAGTAAACGTTTTACTAATGAAGCACTGCAGCGCATTTTCACAAAAAATCCGTACTGGTTGATGTTCTCGACGCGACGCGTTGATCGACGTTTGGGATACTTTCAAAAAGAGTTTCAACTGAGCGGTCATGATCTGCGCCTGCTGGCCACCAAGGAGCCGCGCCTGATAACGTATAAAATGGAGCATATACGTAAATCCATCTTTACACTACGTGAGGAAATGGGTTTCAGTGCCAAAGAGCTGCAATCGCTAATCGTGCGCAAGCCACGCCTGATGATGATTCGTAAGAGAAATATGAGTTAATATTGTTTACTAATTAACTAACTTTACGACTCTTTCAGCACCGGATGAACTCGTCGAACGTTTTAGCTATGTGCACAACGATATGGGACTAAGCCATGCACAGATTATTCAGTGTCCGGAGCTGCTTGCCTCCCGCGAGTTTCGTTTGCGTGAACGGCATGAATTTCTTAAGCTGTTGGGACGCGCACAATACGATTGCCAAAAAGATTTGTATATTTCACCCAGCGAAATTGTGCAGGGCAACAATTTCTATTTTGTAAGAAGTGTGGCGAAAAGTGATTTGCAGACGTTTGATTTGTTTTTGAAAACACGTTAATAAAAGTTTATCCGCGCGCAACACCAATAACAGGGATGCACTCATTTTTTGTCTGGCAACGCCGCGTTCACGTTAAGTTCGGTATTCTTCTTCTTTTTTGCGTTTCATTTATGTTTTCGTCTTGTCGCATTTTTTGTTGTGCTTGTGGGCAGTCATCTTCGTGTTTTTCAACGAACCGTTTGTGTTTTCGCTGCATCCCGCAGCTTTAGCTGAACTACGCATTAGGTTTTTTGCTGCGTGCGTAAAAGAAAAATTGTGTATTATACTGGCACTAAAAAAAAGCGCATATTATTAATTAAACCTTCAAACATAGAAAAAGCGGCAGCTGTTACATTTAGCTAAAAGCACAAACAGTGCAGACGGAACAGGAACTGTAAAAAGTAAAACGCATATTCTCACGCATACACTTACACGACACAGACACATACGCAGACATACACGTAAATACATATGTGCAATACAAGGGCCGCTGTGGCAAAAAGTTTAGTTTAATCTGCATAAATTTATTTGTACGCCGCAATAACAACAAACGAGTTATCTTTAGACGACGTGTTTAGTACAAAAAACAAACTAACAAAAGAATTTAAACTGCTGTACGAACGTAGCGTACAATAACATACACAGAGAAAAACAAAATGTCTACGACACCAAAATCGACAGAAGATTTGCTGGGTGGTAAGTTTGCGATCGCACATACACAAGACTAGCGCACACACCCATACACACATAAAAGTATGTATCGATGTGGTGTGTAGGTATTTGTCAATAATAATAACAATGCAGTGCTGTTGGTATGACGCGTTGTTGTTATTATTGTTTGTGTATAGTTAAAAATAGATGTTGCTTTTGATTTGTTTGTGCCTGTATGAATTGTGTGTGTGTGTGTGCATATTATCTGTGTAACTGTAACCACATCTCCATTGCACTTGCCCATATACAGTTTCAAGGCTCCACTTTGTTATTGCCAGTCTTGTTTTGTTTTGCTTACGCATATATGTATGTGTGTGTTTACGTGTATACGTATTTCTTTCTTGCGCAGCAGCCGTTCATCAGGCGATGACAACAACAAAGACTCTCAACTTCGCCGCAGAGAAACAGAAAGCAGACAAAGGAGACTAACGAAAGAGTAGGGATTAGCGCCCCATTCATACGCGCCTCGCATTCTTTTATTTACAGTTGCACTTTATATATTTATCTTATTTCGCCTAATTGACGTCACGCGGCTCTTTGCGTATATGTGAAAATGTGTGTGTATGCAAAATTTCGTTTAAAAGCGCTTGTAGGAGGGCATTTGCCTTTTGGCACTTGTTGTTTGTGTTCTTGTTTTTTCACATAGTCCAGAAATTGCGACTTTAGCCTATCCGCAATTTGTGTGCGACGCTTGGTGCTCATTATCAAAAACGTAAAAGTGTATTACATATATAGCTTATATATACACACATATGTATATGTACATGTGATAAATGCAAGCGAATCTGAGCGCCAATACCTATACGGAGTCAACAAAAGGCGGTTCATTGGGCTGTACGCTTGACAGCCTCGGATCAGGGTTTAACAGCTGCGCATGATGCACACACACACATATACACACTTAAAGGGAAAGAGATAGAGACAGCAAGAGAGTCGGACAACTTTGCCTACGTGCTGTGAGTCAGCAAGCCATGTTTTGCTTTGCTACCCTTATTGCACCTATTTGTTTTCGCTGGTTTTACCATTTCCCAGTGAAACCTGTTTATGGGTCAGCTTTGTTATTGTTTCGATTTTGATTTACCTGTGCAAGACCCAGACAGCTACCTGTTAATTTTTGAGTTTGTTTTTTTTTGTTTGCAGTTTGTGAAAGTTTCTCTGCAAATTTTCAGTATAGTTTTGCTTGTCCATACATCAACATGATTAGTCTGCCACGTGAGTGTAAACATTTTAGCCCGTGGCGTAATTAATTGACAACCATAGAACAGTTATAGTCGATTATCAGCAGCTGCTGTCACAGTCTCATGTAATTTGCACGCTCTTCAAATGCAATCTTCCACGATCGTCGCCTGTTTTAGTTGAAAATGAAATTCTGTTGATAGCCAGCCAGCAGACACAACAAAACATGCATGTGTAATATACTGAAACGGAAATTGTGTTGTCTTTTTTTTGTTTACCTTATCAACGGGGGCGCACGCTCGCACACACACATATGTATATATATGTATATACATACATATCATAGTCAAACAAACAACCACAATGGGGGCGGCTTTTCGGCAGTTCTCCACGTTAAAATATGGCACAGTGCTGCCAGAAACAAAAGCAGCTACAAAACGAGCCAAAACAAACAATTTAAGCAGAGGCAGGCAGCTTCTACTAGCACGCTGTTCAAATGTGGCACAGTGCTGCCAAGCTCAAGATAAAAAGCCAAAGCAAGCTGTTGTCAGTGCTGCCAAGTATTTGTGAGCAAACAAGAAATACGCTTAAAGAGAAACAATATAAATTAACAGCCGACAAAGCTTATTTATTGTTAATTACAAAAACGAAGAAAACACATTCTGCCAATTCTATGAATGTGCAGCTGCTTAAAATAATTGTCGCTGTTAATTGCAGCGGCACGGCTGTTAATGCTTAAAATTTAAATAACGTTAAATTCGCCAGTTAAAAGCATGTGAAATCTATTTTTATTAGGTGTGCTTAGCATTGGCTTTTTTAAACATATCTAATATCATCTTTTCTCTTGTCGTACCTTACAGAATCTTGGATTGAACTGAGCACAACAGCTGCCATGGCTGGCATTAAGAGTCCCGACAGAATTACACCGCTGCCATTTAGTAATGGCGAGGAATATTTGCGTTTGTTGCGCGAGGCGCAACGCGAATCAAATCAGTCCAGTCGTGTCGTGTCCTTGGCCAGCTCGCGCCGTGATACGCCGCGAGACAGCCCCAAGAGTCCGCCAAACAGTCCACAATCGGAGCTGTGCCCGGATGATGAGCTGCGAAATGTGTACATCAATTATTGGACTAAGGTGAGTGCAGATAAATAAATGAAATGGCCTTGCCAGTGGGCACTTGAACTAATTATATATGCACAACCGAAACAGAATGGCGATAAACAAAATACCGATAATGGAGATTGGCTGCAGAACTGGAATCGCGGTGCCGATGAGCAGCCACCAAAGTGAGCAACTTTATTATATATATATACATACATATATTATTATATATACACCATTTTATTGTATATATTTGTATTGTTTTTCATTAATTCATTCGTTTGTGTTGATATTTTTGTTGCAGAGATTGGAAATTTGAGCGCTCCAATGATGATGAGGATGAGAAGAAGAAGAGCTCGGGTTATTCCATACGCTTAAAGCGTCTGGGCGCCAACTCGTTGTTCTCCCGCGAAATTTTATACTCATTGCTGGTCACTAATGTCCTCTCGCTGCTGCTGGGCGCCGGCTTTGGGTAAAATATAATCATTTCACATTTTCGCAACCACTCAACATATTAACATCTCGTTCCATTTATAGCTTATGGCTGAGCAAGCGCGGCATACTCCTCACCCGTGTGGTCATTGACTGAAAGACACCATAAACAATAAAAAATTGTAATCAACAATATGCACATCAAACCATTAAACCGACAGGCGAAACGAAAAACAGAACAATGAAACGTTCCATATATTGAGGAAGCAGTGTCAATAGCCAGCCAAATGTATTCCAGCTCACACAACACGAAACAATTTTAAACCTATTCATCAGATACATAGGTACACACTTACATATATAATAGCATATATAAGCATAACTATGTAGTAATTTGTAAGCAACAAGTTATAACGCCTAGGCAAGGGTTCAACAGATTTTTCTATATACACATCAATTTTATACAGTTTTTTATAAGAAAAAACACCACCTTCGTAAATTGAACTAAACTTAGGTTCGCACATGGAATACAGAAAAATGAAACGCGATTAAAAATATCAAGATTATTTTCTGTATTCATTGTGCGTTCAAAGTTTAGAAAACTATACAATCATCATTCGCCAAAAAAACACAAAAAAAAACAATGCATTCTAAGAACTTTGACTTTACACACATATATATACGTATATATACACACATATATTCATCTAGACATATTGTAGCTGAATCATGTAACAACCATAATTTTTTTCGCATCAGACATGTTTTAATTTTCTAGCATATAAAAGTGAAAACTAAAAAGTTCGGTAGGCAGGCAGCTACCCCGAAAAAAAAGAAATACACATAAACTTACACAATAGTTTTAAGCTAAGAATGTAACCGTTTTTATATTAAAAATATTTTTCAATATGTATTTAAAAACAAACCCTTAAAATGCATTTGTTGATTGAGTTAGAAGATGTTAGGAAGAGAACTTAAAGGCAATATATAGAATCGCTTGACTGCACAATTCGACATATGAATATATACAGAACTATGATTCACTTTCCACTTTTTTCAATTCTAATGTCAACAAATGACTAATAAACAATTATTTGCCATTTTCGTCATATCTATACGACATTTTATTTGCCTATATCTGTATACGGCTGTATGATGAAATAATTACATTTTATTCTTAATCTATATTAGATTAGAAATATTTTGAATTTGTAATTGTTACTATTTTTGGACACGATAAAGAAGTCATTCACATCCATAAAAGATATATATAAGTAAATGCAAATACTCCCTTTTGACTGATCTTTAAAAAGAAGCAGGAAATAAAAGTGCACTTCGATGGGGCAGCTTTATTAGTTGAGCGATCTGGCAGCACCATAAAATTTAAATATAGACGTTAAATTGCCGGAACTAGAAACTTTTTCGAAATACTAAAAACCTTTAAATTATATAACTACAAATAAAAGTCAGTTTATTAATTGTTTTTGCATAGCATTTAATTTGTATTAAGTAATAGTGACTAAATACTTAGGTGATTAACACAGTTTCGAAACTAATACATAGTAATATGGGTTAACGCTTTTACATATATCTGATAACTGCTGTCGGGTATGCTCAATAACACAGTTAATTTAAAACAATATTTCAATAATTGTTTGTTCAATTTCCTTTTTTGACAAATGAAAGAAGCGATCGCCACGTGATCACCTTTGATTTCTTGCTATTCGACAGCCATTCCGAAGGTGAATTAAGGCAAATTATTTGCCAAAATTAAGTACAGCACATGAGAGTATATATAACTATGTTTTATATAATTGTATATATATATATAGATGGTTATCTAAAGATCATATAACTACTTTTGAGCCTGTTTCGTAGACATCCAGAGAGAAAGTGAAAAAAGTGTTTTGACTAAATTGATGTGCCACTGAATTGAGCCTCAGCCTGGGCTATTCCTTGCCAGCGTCGGCTTCATTTTGTGCGGTGGGTGTGGGAGTGCTTTTCGATGCCAAGTCAGCCGCATCCTCTGTGGCCACTGGCGGTGGCGTGGGTGTGCGCAATGCGCGCTCAAAATCAGCCACCAGCTCATCATCCTCGTGCCACTGCTGTAGTTCGTCCGGCTGCCAATTGTCCAGGGCCGCATCCACATCGTACTGCGGTGATTGCAGCGATTCGCCCGTCACATCCACCAGACGAGTACGCAATCTACTCGAGATTTGCTCCAATTCCGTAAACTTGCGCTTGATGGCCTGGCCCAGCTGCAAATGGCGTAGCTCCAGCGATTGCTCAAACTGATCTATGGCACTGTCCACATTAGCAGAGACGGCACCAGACTGCAGCGGCTGGACATGGACCTCCAGGCCGCCCGTTACGCGTCCATTGAAATCGACAATGTTGTGCCAGCCGCTGGGAAATCCGTCGCTGCTGCTCCGACTAAGATTCAAGGCAGCAAATCCGATAATGGCATCCTCAAGGGGTGTCGGCTCTGTGCTTGTGCCTGCGCTTAGTGCTGTTTTCTTCCAAACCTTCAGAATGAAGAGTTTCTGCGTTTGCATGCGGATTAAAAGGGAAACGCATTAGTGAGGCGCAGCCAACTTAACGGGTACGTAGTGCTGCCAGATCGATTGAACTGCAACAGAAATTTAAAATATTGAAATTCTCTACTCACATTGCTTAGATAATCGACGTCCACCTCCACTTGGAATTTGCTGTGCCATCGCGGAGACGTCGAATGCTCCACAATGGGCGTGGCATAGACCAAACCCTCGTGCGACTTGTAGGTCTGCGAATTGCAGCTCAATGCCTGAAAGGTCACATATGTGCTGGGTGGTTCGTTGGGCGGAAAACGCTTGGCCGCCGCCTGTCGCTTGGCCTGCTTCTTGCCCGTTTTCCCGTAGCCCGGATTCAAGGGCAGCCCATCGGCGCCCACAATCTGCAAACTGAAGCTAAAATTTTTGCCCGCAGTGGGAGCACTGGCAACGGTCTTTGGCAAAGTCGCTGGACCTGGTGTGCCCAACGCATTCTGCAGCATGTCCAGCAGATCTGTGGTGCGTCGCAGCGGCTGCTGATTGTTCTCCATATCAAAGCCGCGCAGCTGCTTCAATTGTGCTATCTGCGACTCGCTGCCGATGGCCAGCAGCACTTTCAGCTCACCCAACTGGGCCTGGGTCTCGGGGTGCACAATGGGCGTCCAGCCATCAATGGAAATGACAGGCAGCTGGTAATTGGGAGAGGAAAAGTGCGTGAGTAAGTGCTTCAACCCTTTTTTGAGGAAATTAAAGACTGGTTTCATTTACTCATTAAATAAGATGATTACGCTATCCCGTTTTTAATTTGAAAATCTAACAAAACGTTTCTAGTCGGAATCGTCCGAATATGCAATACAAAGTTATAATTCCAAAACAGTTTTAGCAACAGGAATTTATTAGGGATTAGGAAATAGTTAGACAACTGCATGCTTACCTTGCCCTTGCATAGATGATTGGTAATGGTTGCATCTCTGTAGGCAATAAAGAATTGATGCAGTGGCAGATGCACCTGCCCACCCAGCGGTCTGAGCTCCAGGAGCAGCTGCTGACGCTCCACGCTATGCAGAAACTTCTCATCATTGATGATGGCGAACTGCTCCTGCAGCTGGAAAGCGCCATGTGGATTCATTTGGACGCTGAGCTGCTCTGACTGCCAGAAGGGCTGCAGCACCAGCTCCTTGCAGCCGCTGGCATCGTCTGCTGACAATTGTCGCGTCTCGCCGGCAAAAATGTAGCCACGCAGCAGACGCACTTTGGTGGTCTCGGCCATGAAATTGACTATTTCCAGGGTAGCTTTGTTATTGTTGTTAGCGGCTGGCGGCGGTGCTGAAACACCCTTTGAGTCACTGTTCTCACTGATATTATTGTTGTTGGCTGTAGAAGAGATGTCAGACAGAGAGAGAGAGAGATCAACAACAAGATTCCACAATAGATCGTATACTAGACTAGTTGCACCTTGAACTCCTGCCATGTGCTAAAAAAAAATCGTATATATATTTATATATAAACTGAATCAGCACTGGAACACATCGTTATCGCGTTCAACGTGGAGCATTCAAATGGCTGACGGCATCGCTGTCGATGTCTATCAACGAAACAAGCGCATGTGGAACCGGGGGAGCCATGTGCTCCTCGCGTGTGCCAAAACACAAGGAACTGAGCTGAATTTGATAGGGTGCAGTGGATTCGGGAACGGGAAAGCACAGTGGAATGAAAGCCGTGAAGATGAGTAATCGTTGAGGTTAAAATTCAACAGACAAAACTAACCCCTATTTAAATGAAAACCAACCCCATTTCTTTGGCATTGTCTTCCGAATAGAACCCATCCAGTAATTACCCCGAGTGCACTTCGATTCTCTGAGTATGTTAACCATTTTCAAATCATGGATCACGATCTCACTTTATAACAGTTATATGTTATATATAACAGTTATGAGTAAGTTGCGCAGGTATTTAACAGTTTTATGTTATGTTAAGCCAACAGCGCCATCTACATAACTTTTCGGATAAGCGATTCCACGAATTCATTACCTTTCATCCCACTGTGCCGCAACTTAAAATGTATTGTTATAAATAAGCCAACAATAATATGAATATAAATATTTTCTATAGCTGTGGCAAATGGGGGAAATGACATGTGAGGAATTAACATAAAAAGACGAGATATAATAGTTTTGTTTTGGTCTTTTGCAAATAAAATGAAAAGTTTTATTGATTTTAACATGATGGGCAGCACTTTTATAACGGCAGCCAATAGATCAAAGAGCCGCAATAGCAGAAGGGACATCATAATTGTGACGTCAGAGTGCAAATAGTTGTCGTAGTTGTTGTTGTTGTGGTTGCTGTGGTTGTGTAGTTGTTGTAGTTGGTGTTGTTGTAGCTTTTGTTGGTTGCACCCACGCGAATTTAGTCATATATATTCACCTGCGGCTGCTGCGCTGTGGTTGTTGTTATGCTTGTTGCTGTTGTTGTTGCTCTCAACTGGCGTCTCCCCATTGGCCAATGTCTTGAACAGCATCAAATGCTGATCGGCTCGCAAACTGATCTTGAGATATAAACTAGCTAAATGGAGATCGCGTCGCTGTATGGCAATACATTTGCACTGCTCCAGCAGTGATGCCTGGTAGAGCTCGACCAGGGGCAGACGTCCCATGCCCAGCATCTCGTTGAGACAGGTGCCCGGTTCGCGCCACCAAATTGTGAAATGAATGCTGCCCATTTCCTTATCATTGTCCCCTGATGGCAATTGCACCTGACGCTGCTGTGTCTGACCGAAGCGTGTGCATTGGGTCAGACTTTGGAATTTCTCCGATTCGAATTGCATAATGTGAAACATGGGACCGCGCGGGACCGAGCTAATCAGTTCATCGGACAGCTGACACTCGACGGTGAAAATCGGTCGCACTTCGCTCTGGAGCAGCTCCATGCGTTTGGTGCCCTCCGCCTGGAGCGTCAATGCCTCCAAGTGCAGCTGCAAGGCATTCACTTGCTTGAACAGCTCCGGTGTGGCCTGCTCTTGTGGTCCAGTGCCAGCTGTAAGCTCCTGTTCCGGCAGTTCCTGCTCCGGCCACAGTTGCTCCACTTTGTTAAGATGTTGCTGCTTCTTTAGCTGCTCCATATTTGGCTCAGCGGCGGTAGCAAACAGCGCTACCAGATCGGCATCCAATTTTTTCATGGCCTCCATTAGCTCGACTTTAGCTGGCGCAGCAACTGCTGATGCGACTGACTTGACTGTACCTGAAATATTCAATATATTCGATTATTAGCTATAAATGGGTCGCTAGCGTGGAAGAAGATTCCAGAAGCATTACAATTTATTTAATTTAGGAGGGGAGCGAACGAGTGTCCGATCGCCGCAACGTGGATTTCTAAAATGACAGAACAAACTGAGTACCTGCTGATATGATGCCGCCGCCGCCGGCAACAGTCGGCGTTAATCGCGGTTTATGCTTTGCTTGTACATTTCCGCACACACGCTTGTGCTCTCTTTAAAAGCGCTCTCACGCTCTCACGCTTAAGTGCAAAGGAAAGCTCACCGATGTTGTAATACTCTCAACTGCAACTTGAGTTTTACTTATCATTTATTTACTTACATACATATCTACTTTTCGGTGCAATTATTCATTTGTTTTTATTTGAAACATACAAAAAAATTTACATTCGCCGAAATTTAATTTTGTATTTTCTAGTATTTTATGTAAATGAACTTTTATGTTTGTTTAAAAAACAACCAGATCTTTAGACAACATTTTCCATACTTTTTGAATATCATTTTAAAATTCACTATAGAAATTCAAATATACAGTTGAAATAACTGCTCAAACCTCTCACTGCAACTAATATACACTTTTCTAAAAGAGTACATACATATATCAAGTTTGGCAACCCTCATTGAATTCAATGCTGAAGAATTTCGCATATTTGGCTTGACATTGAAAAAGTTCAACGGCAAATGGAAAATTTCATAGATTTATTTAGGTATATAATAAGTTGTAAGTTTTCGACCGCCGCATTTCTAGTGAAAATTGAAAGCGTAACAAAAAAAACATGATTAATATTGGCGACGTTTTCCCAAATGTTTTATTTGTTATTTTTTGCATAGCAACGCTACGAGATAAGAGTTTCTAGGTTCAATGACATAACACGGTGCAGATTCTAGACGTAATCAGTTAATAGCCAAACGTTTCGTAGCCCCTCAACTACGCCTGATTAAAACCCATACAAATTTGCATAGAATTAGGCGCCAAAGGGCAATTGAGAAGTGAAAGCTAAAATGCTAGCCATGGGAGAAGGAAAATGGTTTATCAAGGGCTTGGCCTATTGATTACAGCTTTGTGCATGACAATGTATATATGTACATATGTACGTATACATACATACATATATATGTATATGCATATGGGATTACCAATGCGACATGGTGTTTTTTATCAGTGTAGGCAAACAACTGTTTTTCTATCAGTGTAAAACAGAAAGGGAGATAACACTTTAAAAAAAACATATCCTCATTGTATTTGCATTTGGAAATCCAATACGCAGCTCGAAATCGAAACCAAATCACATTAATATGCGTGTATTCGATATCAAAACATTTTGCGCAAAGATTCTTAATCCATTTTCTTGTGGTGCTGGGCTTTTCCGTCATTGGCCTTTAAAGCCCAACCCAGAATGTTTTTATTTCTTTTTATCCACGAAGAGAAGCGCAGCCGGCAAACTAGCGAAGACTGACACAACAAAAACAAGCGTGGAATAGAGCATAAAGGCATACAGTGAGATAAAGTTTCGCTGTGTGCGGGTCACAGCTTTTGCTCTTGAACAGGCGCGAATTTGGCAGTCATTGATTTGGGCTCGCTTTTGGTGATAATGAAAATAAAAGAAAAACGAATGTTTATTTGTAAATTCCAGATTTATAAATAATGGTAAAAGAAAATTTCATTTGTTCCAGTACATCCTGGCAGATTCACCTATGCAGCGCCCTTTCCAGCGGCCCAACCCTTTAGCACTAACTGCGCTACTGTTTAACAGTTAAGCAATATTTATACGTCGCCTCTGTCTCTTTTCGTTAAGTAATTGGGTATGTATGTGTATTTGTGAGAGAGCCTGCACGTGTTTTCTATATCACGCTATTTCTGGGATTTGTTTTTCCGTTTTCACTTCTTTATTCGTATTCTTGGGATTTCTTTGGTAGACGCTCCGCAATGGAAAGTTTTGCGGCCGTTTAGTTGGCGAGAAATCGTCTGTAAACTAAGAGACGCTGCAAACCAAATGTTTAGCTATTTCAAGCATTGCAATTGTTGTTAATAAATTAAATTTGGCATTTAATTTAATTGCCAAGGCGAAGGCTAAACAAACAAACCATCGCGTCGCTTCTTACGTAAGTATCAACAAACTGTTCAAAGCTACTTTTTATAGCCACATATGATATTTTTATATTTGAACCTATGCAAAAATATATATAAATAAATAACATGAAAATGCCGCACTCAACCAAAATAAACAGAATGTGTGCGTCGACAGAGACGAAGCGACGACAACGAACTCAGCAGCGTCATTACGATAATAATCATGTAGTATATAGGTGAGAGAGAGAGAGAGAGAGCCCGCACTCACTAGGGAACAAAAAGCTTCGGTTGAAAACGTACTCACCTGAAATGCGCTCACCCGGCTGCGTTTGAGAACAGTTGTTGATGGTCAACTGATGATCCTGTCGCAGCGCAGCTGGAAGCGACGTCGGCGGTGGCAGCGGCAGTGGCGGCGGCACTGTTGCAGTTCCCACGCGAACGGCTTTATTGGCGCTGGCTGCGGCAGCGGCAAATAACATTTTAAAGCGCAATTGAATCTCACCGACTTTCAGCTGCTGTTGCTGTTGCACTTGACCCGACGTGCCACTACTCTCGACGTGACGATATAAAGCATAAATTTTGGTTTTATATACGAAATTGCAACCGTTGACGTTGTTTGCTGCGTATTTGCGCAGCAGCGGCGCCGGCAGCTGCAAACGTGCTGCTCCTGATGCTGCTGCTGTGGGCGGCGGCGACTGTTGATCGTGGGCGTGGTCCTTGACGTCGCTACTGGCGACAGGCCTAATAAGTGGACACTCGCGCAAGCAGTCTAAGAATAGCGCGAGGCTTTGGCTGCGTACACAATAACGTAATTTATTATGATAATTATGACGCCAATGATAATTATGCTGCTGCGTCTTCTTTAGTTGTTGACTTTGGCTGTGCCTTTTAATTTTATGCTTGTCAGCGCAAAGCTTTTTGATGCTGCTGCACGCGTCACAGCTGATGCTGACGCTTGCTGCTGTTTCCCTCTGCGCACCCCACCAGATGATTTCTGCTGTTACAGCACCAACACCCAACACCCCCGCACCGTGTTGGTACAATGACGAGGCTTTCGGTTTCCCAGGGCTTTTGTATAGGGACACTGACGTTTGCGCTTTGATCGATTTATCTGTTATGAAATTGATGCGGCTCGCTTCGATTTCCCAGTATGACAATCTATGGTTCTTAGAATCGGTTACTTCTTTTGCATTGCAATATTTATTCACATTCGGTGGAAGTGTATATTCAGCTTTCATTATTGTCTACTTGCCATTTTTGTGTTAGCGCGCCGCATTACACACACGAATAAACACCATCACACACACTTACACTACTATGCACACAACTACCGATTTGGGACTGAGCGCGTGCACTTTTTCACTTTGCCTAAAAGAAGTTGGCTCTTAAATCGAATTTTCAGCCGCTTGAGATGTGCGAATTTTCCGCGTCGCACAACCTGCACAGCTTGCTTGTAAGGTTGAAGGAAAACTGCAAAAGCTTTTGCCGCTAGGAAATAAGAATTACCTCAAAAATGTTTGCAAGTGTTGCCTGCATCTGTCGAAATGTGGATTTGTTTTGATTTTCTTTAGGGTTGCGATAGATGTACGCCATCTGGCAGCACCATTCAAGTATTGCATAATATTGCCGCACAGCGGGCAGTGTTGGTAAGCGTGCGTGCTTAAAGTTTTAAAAAAAGTATGGAATCGCGCAGACACGAAAAAATATTTAAAAGAATACATTTTGTAGATGTTTTAAACAAATTAGTTTTATTTCTTTCGTTTAATTTGTAGACAATTTATTTAAATTGATAAACACACTAAGATTTTCCAATTCACAACGTTTAGGCAAACAAGCGCAGCTCTTCGCCCGCTTCAATAGTTTTTGGCGGCGACGCCGCCTCAAATTCGCCCAACTCTGCATCATAGTACAAGGCAGCGCGATATGGGCGCAGCTCCCAAGGCACCTGATCCTCCATATTTGTCAGCTGAACACCCAAATCTTCCAGCGTCGGCACACCGGGCAGCACTTTATCGGTGATGGCTTCCCGCTCAACGCGATCTAGATGCAGTCCACCAATGGGTGCACCGGGGCAAACCAAGTTGGTGAGTTTAACCTTCAATTTGAAAGTGGGGTCCCAGCGCATATCGTAACGCTGATAGCCCCAACGCTTCTGGTCCTTGCGCATTAGGCGATGGAACCAGTCGACCAACTCGCTCAGCTGATAGCGCTTGGGGCTGCAAATTTAGATTAGTTGAATTAAAATAAGTGTAGATTTGGACTGAGCTTACCCCACAGCCTGGTAGATGCGGCCAGCGGTGTCTGGATCCTTTGCGGCATTGACGATGGCCTGCGCCACATCAGAAACGAATACGGGCTGCTTAACGGTGCGCTCACCGCTATGCCACAATGGCATCGAGCGGAATTGACGACGCCAGATGTGTGCGTAGTAACGCAAGAAGCGGTCCTCAGATCCATAGATATCTGCTGGTCGTATTATCGTGGCATTGGGGAAGGCATCACGCACCATCAACTCGCCCTCATACTTGCTCTTGAGCCACTGGCTGCCGCCCGAGATGTAATGCGCCTTGGGATTAGCCTCGGCGTTCAACGCGGATAGATGTATAAAACGTTCCACGCCGGCATCGCGGCAAATGCTACAAACAGAAAACATACAAAAATTAATTTAGTCCAGATACTATTGAGCTGCTCACCTGGCCAGACGCGCTGCGCCATTTACATTGACATCCTTGAACTTAAAGTTCTTAGTCTCATAGTCACGTCCCACCAAATTGATGACCACATTTGAGTGCTTGACGGCCTCCCGTATGGAGCTTGGATCTTCAAGATGATAGAAATGGAACAAAACTTGACCCAAATCACCGCAAACCTTCAGACGGTTCGCATCGGAATCATCGCCGCGATAGGGCAGAATCATTTGTGTGCCCGACTTGCCCAGCTTGTTGCACACGTAGCGTCCCACAAAGCCGGTGGCACCAAACACGGTGGCGACGATGCCGTTGAAACTGCTGCGTCCGCCTGTACCGCGCTTCATGGCAGCCAGATTTGTGGTCTTCAACGGACGTGGCGCATCAGCATCTGGGGGAGCCGCGGCGGCACTATAGCTGCGCAGACACACCACACCCACGACACCGCTGCCGTGATGCTCTGCAAAATAAAAATTAATATTACGATCCGGAAAACTGCAATACACATTACATAATTTTTGCGAGACACTCAAATAATGACACTCGCAACGCTACTTACTCGCCAGCTGCATGTTCCTAGTTAGTACTATGGCAGCCATTATGGAGTGGCGCACTATATACCAACTAGCAAGAATTAATTTGCAATTATTAAACTTTTTCCACGCAGATTTCTTGTCTGCTGGTCGGAAGAATGAAAACACAGCCTTAGATGTCAGCAGCAGGCCAGTGTGACCAATTTTCAGACATCAAAATACCAAACTTAAAGTTGAAGTCGGATGACAGTAGTAGCCAGTGCTGCCAGATCAGTTGTAAAAGTTTAGTGTTTTCAAATTTTGCGGTTACTACTGATCTATGCACTACTGCATTTATGTATGTAAAAGGTTTAGCAGCAATGTTTTGAGACACTCGTTTGTTTATATTCAAGTTTTAATAATATAAATTACCCGAATCGCTACACTTTTGCTACTATGACCACACGTCTGTTTTATCTAATGTGCGTGTTTATTGCATGTTCCATGCCGAATCGCCTTCGGTATGCCTCTGAAAGAATTCTTAAAACATTTGTTGAAAACATCAGTCAGTTGCTTTTGTACTGTCGTCGCGACTCTAATATCGTGTGCTAAAAAAAAACGTACAAACCGCATAAAATTAAATATATACCATGTTATTTACATTTACAAATTTAAGTACATATATGTACATGCTGAGTTCCGAAAACAAACAGTGAGCTTATCGGCAGTGAACAGTCGATAAGAAGTACAATAAACCAACCAACTAAATATTTGAACTAAAATCTGACTACTTCAGCGCCCTAATAAATTCGCTCCTGGCAACAAGCAGTGCGGTGGATAAACTAAAATGTATGATAATAGTTGACGCCACAAAGATTACAAGATTAGCATATGTTTACAGTTCATGCGGCCGTTTATACGAAAAATTCGTTTAACTCTGTTTAGGCATAAGCCATACAAACCATATGCTACACGTATAAACCCAAATCGCCGCAAAGACAGCATACATAGATTTGCCAGGCAGAGACAACGACCAGCCACAACCTGAACGCGCCTGAACGCGCCTGTCCGCTCATGCGCTGCCTCTCTGCCCCGCAATCTCTCTCTCTCTACCTTTGTCTGGTCCTCACTGTTGTTCCCTAAATAATTGGCATTGTTCCACCCACTGATTAAGCCCGTCTACCTAACGCACGCACTCAACACCCTACACCCCCATACGTGCGCTTACTCTTTCTGTCGCTCTCTTTCTCTCTCTCTCTCTCTCTCTCTCTCTCTATCTTGCTTGTTTGTGCTACGCTCTCACTTTCAATTCGCTTGCCTGCGTGATTTGTATTTATTTCGGTACATTTACTGCTTTCCATGCCATTATCATCATTGTTGTTGCGCCTGATCTGCGTTCGGGTTTGATGCCAGCGTTTCATTAGAGTTTGAGCCGCACAGCCGTCAACGTCGTCTGAGCGCATTCGGCAAATATTGCAATTAGCGGCCAACAGGTGTCGCCGCGTGTGTGTGAAAATTAACGCCCGAAAACAAATTTAAATTCCAAAATTACAAAAAAAAAAAACAACAAAATAAAATAGATTGTGTTAACGGTGCAAAAAATTATAAATCTAACGCAAATTGTGAAGTGCTAAAAATAGATATTAAATATTTGTACGTATCAAATTTGTGATTTTTATACAAACATAATTTAGTTTGTTCCACACGCGCGCTTCTATTTTTACGTACACCAATGTAGCTTAGGCATGTCAACTATATCTACAAATTTGTTTATAAATTTGGAGCAAACGAACTTTTTACCTAAGGCCCGCACAACAAATCTAAATCATGCCCATAAGACTTTGGTCATAACAATTACTCACGTTTGATAAGACCCCAAAGAATCTGGGGGCTTGTGCTTGCACCCGGCTAGCAAAAATATTCCATTAGCCAGAATAAAACTGGAGATTTATCTGCGTAGCTGTGTTATCGACCAAGTCAAGTGATTCGTTAGCAAATATGAATGGAATCATTTAGCGAGTGATTATTCCGGGGCGCGCTTGGTACCAAAAATACGAAAATATCTAAATTTGCAAAGTAAAAATATAAATTCTGCGTCATTTAAAAGAGTTCCCGAAATTAATGTTAATTCGCGCCTATATTTGTCTAGACTATATTTATGTATATGTATGTGTGTGTGAGTGTGTCTGTGTGTGTGTGTGTGTGTGTGTGTGTGAGGGCCTCAACTTGGCTGCTGCGATTCAATGCAAATTATGAAACGGGCCTTGAAAAAATGGCCTCAAGTCAACATTTAACTGTTATTTGGTTGTTGTTAATATTTAAATTCTCTATAAATACTATAGGAAAATTGAAAAACCTTTTGCAATTTGTATAGACCAATTTAGTTGCACTCCCGAAGTCTCATTAACTGTAATTTAATAGCTATTTAGATAAGCAACTAATGAAATTACCTTATTATAACGGATTCCATTGAATTGTTCAATTTATCAATTATGACAATTGGATTTTTTATTTCACATTATTTTTTTTTCGTTTACTGGAGAAAGTGTTTGCAGGAGCTTTGTTTTTTTTATTGATAAAGGCGCAGATCTCACGTCGCAAGAGTTGAATTTAAGAAAGGTATTTCAATGCTATCAGTTATGGAGAAATGCACGAAATGTGTTTTACGGCCTGACAGGTGCAGCAGTTATAGAAAAATGTTTTGATACAGACAAGCTATGTCCGCTGAACGCAGTTCTAAAAAAATATATACATATATAAAACTTGGAAACCAAAGCTTGCTATGAGAGCTTGTCAGCTGAAATCGAATATATCAATTTTAGAAACTACTTGGGAATGCTGAATATAATATTCCCAATATAATTGACTATGTAGAACTCTAGTACCTCACTGCAGGGCCTATAAATAGGTACCTGGCTCAAATTTTGATGAGAAACTATGCTGATACAGGTCTTTTTAACAGTTCTATTCAATATCAAGTCAAGCTATATATAAATTAAATACGATATATAAAAGTCTGTTTAAAACAAGTACCTCATTTTAGGGCCTATAAAATCTACCTGGCTTAAATGTTGCTGTTAAACTATGCTTATTCCGGGCCTTTCCAACACTAATAGGCTATTCAATATCAAGTTAATCTATATATAAATCAAATACGATCTGTAAAGAGAGAGAAAAACAGTATCTCATGCTTACTCATGGCCTTACACGAAAAGAAATTGATTATAAAGGAGAGCTCTGGTCATCAATTGAGAGCCTTTTTTTAACGCACAGTTGTTTTCTTTCTTAAATTTCTAAGTATTTCTATTAGAAGTTTCATATAAGTATGTGATAGTAATTGGTTAGTCTGGTTGCGGGTAAATCCACCTCATAAATCTGTCTTCCAGAATTGCCACTTCACTTGTCAATTAGATCAATAAAACGAGTCACTTCATCATTTCGTCAATTCGAGGCATTTTTAATGCTCGGCTCAACGACATTTGTTTATTATATTTCTGCTCTTCTTGGATTTTGTTTTTGTTATTTTATACAGTAACCAAATACGTGTGTGTATAAATATTTTATTTTATCATTTGGTCATCAACTGCAGTTTGTTTTCGTTAACTTTGTGTCGAAGCCAATGCTTGAATACAAATTTGATTTTTGTATTGGCAAAAAACCGAATTCATAAAAACAACAAATGAAAAAAAAATTTGAATTTTATTTGACAATTTTCAAAATCCTTCTACGTCGATCCGTGGCCCGTTTGTTTATAACTACGTATACAGCAATTTAATCGAACAGCAGAGGGGTAACCCCTCAACCCCCAACAATGTTAACGCATTTAGTTAAACATACATATATCTATTGTATTTTGACCAGTTTGGACACGTCGACAAGGTCGAGTCGTTCACGCATCTGGAATTTTAGATTGATAACATTAGTTTCATGGCACTGTGTTTTTTGTTTTGTTTTTGTTAATTCTATTAACATTTGTTTACACTCGTGCTATATGCATTATTTTGCTTGCAATTAAGCTTTTAACTTGCCATCGGTTACGAGTATATCCCAGTGGGGCTGTATGTGCCTAAGAATTGGCTGATATATCTTTTTATTTACCAGATAATCTCTCCGTTTCGAGCCCCAGTTTTAGATGTAGTGGTGTCTTAGCCGAAGGGTTAACTATAGTTCGAAGGTCTAGGCAGTTCTATTTAAAGAACTAAATATGTTTACATGAATCCGAAGCTTTGGAACTGAGATTTCAAACAAATCGAACCATTTGCGAAAAGAAAATGGTTCGGATTAAGGCTTGTTTCATATTTAAAAATCAACTGGAAGTCCGGGTTATGAGCAACGTTTACGATCCTCAATATAACAGAGAGACTAAGCACTCCCAAGAAATCCGTGTAGATTTCACATAAGCAGACTTCAATTAACTTAAAAAGAAAGCGAAATAGTTCTACGTCAATCTACTCAAATGCCAATCACACTAAACTGAAACCGAAAGCAAACAATTATCCATAGAGCCGTAAAATGAAATTTGCTTAACAGATGTCGTCTGTCTGCCACTAGTTTTACGTCCATGTTTCACTTTTGTTAACGCAAACGGGCCCAATTGGAGCACTTACACACCGATACGGCAGAGCAGCATACTCCCGGCCTTGCCCACAACCCACCCACCCACTCAGCCGCCGGGCGGGCAGCTCGGATTGTGCTTGATTCAATGAGAATGAAATCTAAATTGAGGAAATGAACGTTTAGCATCCAGCCAAACAGGCACAACGGATCACGAGCACGGGCATGGGCAGTACACATGGCAACCAGTGTTTGGATACCACAATTTTTGGATCTAACTATAGTTTTTATCTATTTTTTTTTGGTTGTGTGAAATGTGGGTCTATGGCAGCCCGAGGCATTGGTTAACGCTTTGTAATCGATTTGGAAGCTAATAATGGAAAAAACAATAGATTGTACATTTTGATCTAAACGATTTGTTGTACACCCACATGAAGCGTTTAAAATGCAATCAGCTGCTTGACCGTGACAGTTGAATGAGGTTGGGTTGTTATATATAGGGATTACGAGGCATCCAACTGTGGAGGTGCTTAGAATAACAAATAGATGCAGGAGAGATAGCTCCCAATGGGGTAGGACTGTGAGCGTGTGGGCCTTAGTTAAGATATGAATCTATTTGCAAGATTAAGTCGTCTTGATCTTTGGCTTAGAATGTGCTGTGAATTGTAGGATATCAATATTATTCTGCAGATCTGCCCCCATTCGTATTAATCTAGCCCATTCTGTAAGACAGAAGTTGCTTAATCCCCGAAGTGTACTCTGTAATTCTTTAGCTTGTTTTAGGTTAGACTTTTGTTTCTTAATCAAATATTCTTTCATAGAACAAAATTCTAAAGAAAATCACTTTTTTTGTGGCTTCAACATGGCCAGACATGTGTAATTAAGCCTTGGATAAATTTGATATGATAACGAATTCGACTCATTATTTGTACTTATAATCGCGTTAAACTATTTAAAATGCCTCATAAATATGTAGGCCCTAAAATGTCTAAACGATCACTTCATGGTTTATCCGATCAATTAAAATCGTATGTGACTGCTGTAATTATGGGCATCTGTAGAAGGGCTAACCTTGGGTTACAATTAAACGTATCCAATTGTCACGTAAAGTTACGTCAATGTCAAGCCTGACAATCGGTCGGTTAGGTGATTGGGTTCGTTTTTCATCTTCATTTGCATGCTAGGCAGGCGAAAAGGCCAGCCAGCCCAACCATTGAGCGAACAGCTGGGGCGTTACCTGTACCCACCTGCCCAAATCTGGACCCTAGGCTTATGATTAACATATGCACATGCACGCCATATGGGCCACTACACACACACACACACACACACCCACCCTTACCCAACGATATATAAATATAGAAACGCAGTTCAATAGACGTTTGAGCTTGACACCGTTTGGCCTTATCGAGCTGGCCTGAAGTGCTGTAATGTAGAAATTAATCTTAGTATACTGGTTGGAATTTCATTGATAGGCTTTCTGCATCTTTAAGATTCTGTTTGTATTTAGAAAGTCATTTCAGATACTCTCGATCTTTGCATCTGTAATGATATAATCATTAATCTGATTTTCTTATTTTCAATCCGTCTGTCTCCTTTACAATCTTTTAATTGCTCAATCTTAAATCGCCTTTCTATGCGATTTTCATTTTTTTGTTTCTTATTTTATTTACTCCTCTCTTACACTTATTTTATCGCTCAATCTGTAATCGCCTTTCTACGCGATTTCCATAACGTATTTTGAGTAAATATTAAAAGGTTTCCTTGACACTTGGTTTAATTATTATCCAAAACTATAATAATAACTTATGCAGTCGCTAAATTGCTAATTACCAACACTTTTTTATCTGTTGTTGAGTAACTGCAAATTGCAATAGTCAATAAATTGATCTAGTTTCATGTGGCCCGCCAATAAACAAAGTTCGTTGACAATTTTTGATTTACGCGATTTACAACCTCGTCACTTTTTTCCGTACTGCTCCCATGTTTATATAACTAATTTACATTATCTCTCTCCAATATCCAATATCCGCAGTTGCAGTTCTCAGACCCAGATTTAGGAGCCATCAAACATGCCCATCAAGGAGGTCTTACAACGCTGTCAGCCCATACCGCTCTACGTGGTACTGATCCTATCTGTGTGCTACTTTGTGCTCCAACTGGTCCTCAGCCATTTGACGCATGCATTGACACTCCTCATGGCTTCCTATCACATGTTGTGCAACATTTTGGCACTGGCCGGTTGCATTGTAACGATTAAGGTAAGTGGATCAACATTTTGTTGTTTTTCTTTTTTCCTCTTTGGGGAAGCTAACAAGTTTTCCAGCCGTACTGATAAGCAAATCGGAATTCGAACACCTAAAAAACATAATAAATAAATAAAAAAAAGAGAGAGAAACCTGATGCAGTGCATTGAACTGAGCAATTTTATGCGCGGCCGCTTGAAAACAGGTTTCATTTCTGACTTGGTTTCAAATTTTGTTATTATTGATTTATGTTTTTGATAAATATCTCGAATTTTTGTTCCTGCAACCACAGGATATCATGCTACATATTGCTGCAATCCGTCGCTGCGTTCTGTGCCGAGCTAAGATTAGATTAGGTTAGATTGCTAAAATAATATATATACACATGTTTATATATTTTATCTTTTGTATAGACCTACAACTGAAATGTCTGTGCTTTGGTCAGGTTTGTGTGGCCTGCGTGGGCGTTTACCGCTATCAGTAAATTGTACATTAATTATGCCCCCCCCAGTACAAAGGCAGATAGTTGCTGTTGTTAACAGCTTGTTTGGTAAACTGTGCTTAAATAGCTGGCAAAGTAATTAAGATGTGTTTGACAGCGATTATGATAAGGTATTCTGTGATAAACATAAGTGCATCTACAACTGATAAATGAATTGGACTTACCCCAATCTCTATACTTTGTCTCCATATAGAAGTATCCGATATTGAAGCCTTGTTAATTTCTAGCTATACCTGACCCTAAAATAATGTGTTTATTCATCATAACTCCCTCAAATATCTGTTCTCCCAAGTTTACCTCTATCCATAACTCACAATACTTAAAATTTTTCAATTTCTAGCTGTCCCAGATCTGATTATTTATCTATATTTATGAGAACTCCAATTTGCCATGCATTTGTTTATTTGCCCTCGAGGCGTGTATTCAACCAAATATCAAATACTAATGCAAATTTATGAATTAAGTCAAACAGAAATATTTTGAATGAGTGCTAAACTTTGCAAATTCATGTGGTCGTCTGTATTTCGACTATATTTGGACTTTGGGCAAGTGTGCCAAGCACGTTTCGCAACTAGAGAAAAAAAAAGAGAAATACCGCTAAAACAAAGGTATAAATTTTGAGCCTACGCAAAACTTGTGGCCAAAAACCACGCAGCCAACCAGATATCGTAAGCTTTATAAGCCAAAAAAAAAAAAAAGAAACCAAAATAAACCGCCAAAAACAGTTGGCCCGAAATGTGCGAGAAATGAGTGAGACGAGTAGCTTCAAGCTGTGGACTTATATAATTGCTAGACAGACAGACAGACAGACAGACGGACCTTTGGCTGAGTTAGGCGAAGCGTGAAAATAGTTGACAACAATTTGGTGGCATGGTAATTAAACAAGTGCCGTACCTAATGAACTAATTGACAGTGCTATAGGTCTAATTTTTGTAAAATTATTTATCCAGCAAGTCATGGTGACAGCTTTCAAAATTATGCAGTTATTCCTTCTACAACTGGTTAAGAATTCCTTTCAATTTTGCCAAAGATCTCAGTTCCATATACCAATACGATCGTTCAGATAATACTTAACTTTTCTATATAAATGGAGTTTTTATCTAATTGTTAGCTTTATTTAGAGTCCTCAGAACTTAATAAGAATTTCAATCGAAAATCTTAAAGCTCCAACTACTTTTTCTTGCGCATTAAAGCTTTTTATTTAGCTTGAAATAATCTCTAAACCATTTCTAGGTAAATCATCGATAACTGTTCTTTGTACATAGAGCTTTAATCCTAATTTAAAGATTTTCCTTAGATTTCCTTATCACTCAGTTTTTCAAGCTTGAAACCAATCTAGCATATTCGAAAAGCTTAAAGCTTTCAGAATTGACCCTTTCTACAGCTTAAAGTTCTTTCCCTAAATATATATAAACCGTTTCTTATGCTCTTTCTTCTCTTCTCCCTCAACAGCACAGCAGACGGAATGAGACGGAACCACCAACACCTAAAGCAGCGCCCATCCTGGCCAAAGGCACAACGGATGAAAAGATAGCCGTGGTGCTCACGCTGAGCGAGACTGAGGAGCAGCAGTTGGCCAAGCGTGAGTCGCGGGAGCAGAAGCTGCGCAATACCTTTGGCTGGGCACGCATCGATATACTCACTATGCTGATTGTGTTCATCATATTGGCCTCGCTGTCCTTCTCGCTTATTGTGGAGGCACTGCAGACGCTGGTGCACATTGATCATCAGGATACGATGCATTTGCCCATCCATGTTATGATGCTGGGCTGTGTGGGTCTTGTATTGAATGGCCTCACATACTTGCTGATAGGTGGCTACACATTGCATCAGGGCAGCTTTCTGCACTTGACGCCAGGTGGCGATGTTGTGCTGGAGCGTTCCATCTCCAGTCATTCCGATTTGGCACTGAAGCCCATGCAGCGCTCACTGAGCAAGTCGCGCAATGATCGCCAGCTGCGCCAGGATCTGGAGGCGGAGGTGGGCAACATTTACTTCACGACCAAGCGCCAGGGCGCTGTAGAGATGCTGCGCGATGTGTCCAGCACGCTGTTTGTCATCGTTTGTGCGGCCATTGTCTATGTGGCCGAAGATGAGGAGCATACGGCCAAGTTTATTGATCCTGTTTTGTCCATATTCTCTTGTGTGCTGTTGGTCTCACTGAGTTATCCTTACAGTAAGTATAACAGTCTTTGTTCTGGTGTAGAAATTGGAAAACTGGCATCCTTTAGTTTACATATAACAGTATAAAATTTATAGCACATATTTCTATATAACTAATAGCACTTAACAGTTCGCACTTTCTATAACAGCATCAAAGCGTAACAGTCGACGCATAACAGCAAAATGTTAACTTATCTTTCCTTTAATTAAAGTGAAAGAATCTTGCCTCATTTTACTGCAAACGATACCTGGCTCCATTGATCTGGAGATCTTTGAGAAGACCCTGGTGAACAAGTTTCCGGAGATTGTAAGCTATCACGATCTGCACATTTGGCAGCTGGCCGCGCACAGCTATGTGGCCACCATACACATACAGTTCCAGAATCCCAAGCTCTATCTGAAGATTATCGAGCAAGTGCGTGCCTATTTTCATGAGCAGGGAATTACAGCGGTGACCATACAACCCGAATTCTATCCGGCAACCAATAAGAATGCCTCCGCATCGCTGGAATGCCTGATGCAGTGTCAGGCAGCCGAGTGCATTGAGAAAGTTTGCTGCCGCGATTCACGCAGCGACTTACGGGAGGTTAGCGGGAGTCCGGATGGTAGCAAAACAATCTCAAGCCCGTCCACGCCCAAGTCCTGCGCAGAACTGAGCAACGTTATTGTGGAAAAACCCAAGGAGTTAAGCGTAGTGCAGCTTTTAAAGGGTCAACAAGAGGCTGAACAAGTGCGGGAGGAGTTGACGCAGTCGCCGTTGCCCTCGTCTCCAACGAGCATATCCCTGCTGGCTGAGGCGCCAACATCGGACACCAAATGCTAATGATCGTCCATTAGCTTTATAGTCATTGTATTAGTCCAGCGATTTTACGATTTTAGTTAGAATTTACGCTTATTTTAACGACTACTACTGCAGCTATGCTATACGCTCAGGCTGATAACTAAAGAATTGCAGTTTTCATCGACTTTGCATTAGACGTTATCTGGCAGAACCAAAGATCTGCATGTGCGGGTGCTAAGTTGGCCTATATCATTCAATATATAGCATAATTTCAGTATTTGCCATATAATTTGAAAACTAACATTTTAACGTGAGACGCTTAAATAGTTTTAACAAGTTAATAGTTAGCTAATAAGTCTTATATGTATAATAAGATATAATTAAGCAAATAAATGTTGCTTTTAGGTCGATTTATTATATACACATTTAAATTTAACATTTTCTAAATATTTATAAAAATAATATTTCTAGATTGGTTTAAGTGTTTTGAACGCATCTGCGTCAACAAGTTAGTCATTTTTACACATATATTAATTGTACACACACAACACAATGGAACGAGGTCCACAAACTATATACATATACATAAAAACGTTCCACATAATAATAGGTAAACAATTAACATTTCCATTGTATTATTTGCCACAGCAACGATACCGCGTATCAGACAGGTCAATATGATAAGGCTTCCTATAGTTGAGAGGGATTTCACGCTACTTTTGTTCCACCCAACAGATACTCCAGTGTAAAGAGCCGTATAATCAGTGCTAAATTGTGTGTGGTCGCATAATCGATCACACCTTCGTTATCATCTGTTGTGTGCCACACACTGGGAAAGGGCATTGGTATTAGGTGAAGAATGGGCACATTGCGTCGCAGAAACGGTATGTGATCGTCCTCCACCTGGCTGTTCCTTAAGGCTTGAGGCTGAAAGTAACGTGAAGGATCCCGTCGCGCAACGCCGCTGTTCATATACCGCTCGAGCAGATGCTGCTCCGACAGGCGCATCTCCAGATCCGCCATACGCATATACCATAGCTCCGTGTTGGAAAAGAAGCTATAGAAGGCGGGATCTGGTGCGCCCAGCAAATCGAGCAACACCAGCATATCAATACGATCCAATTTGCCCTCCTTCTGCCAGAGCTTTGCCAAGTGCCGGGCACCATATATAGAATCCTTGGGACCCCATTCCTTGAACGCCTCCTCTCCATCGAAAAACAGGAGCATAAGACTCAGCTTAGAGCTCTGCAGTGGTTTCAGCTGTTCCTGCAACACCTTCGCCAGATTCAAGAGCATGGCGCAGGGCACAGCCGAGTCGGTGGCGCCTACAAATTCCTCACCACCCGGCATATATTTGCTATCATAGTGACAGGCCAGCACCAAGTAACGTTCGGCGTTCGGATTCAGTGTGGCAATAATGTTAGTGAAATGCAGGGCGCCCAAAATGGGAGCGTTGTCGTGAAAACCGTTCAGCTCCACATGCCAGTCCAGATCGCGCAGGCTCTGCACAATAAACTGACGCACGATTCCGTGATTTGGCGTGCCGACAACTCTAGGTATAAGTATATTTTTTATTGCTTCACGCATATGTTGTCTGTCCGACAGATTGCTATACTCTAAGAATTGAGCATCTGACAGCTGGCTGGGATTGTAGACGGTCTGAAACAGTTGAAAAACAAATAAAATAAATTCGACTATCAGGCACACTGCCAGATGTTAGGGTTACGGTTGCAGCTGCTACCTTATTGCGGCCCACCAAATAATCTGATGATGATGTGGCTGTGGTTGACCTCGTGACCAAAGTGGCGATTAAAGCCGTATGCACGCATAGTGACCAGAAGTATTGTGGCACTCTTTGCAGCTGCAGCATATTTACGACTGATACGTGTTTAACGCTACGTTGTTTATTTGTGTGTACAGGTGGTTGCAGACGCTGATTTGTTTGTGTCACTGTACTAGATGTGCGTGTGCATATGTTTTGTGTATTTTACAGTCAGTTGTGAAGTGAAGTCGTTCAAATACATATTAATACTAATGTTTTAGCATTTTTCATAAATAACGTTGACTAAAAGGGCCCAAAAAGCGGACACAAACAAAAACAACATTGGCGTTGCCACATCGCGTTTGCCCAACTAACAGTTCAAGAAACTGTTCATATGACCAAAATGCAAATTCACCTCTGCTGTTAACAGAATGTGTCGCTCATCTCTAGCGGGAATCAGTCGTTTTAATTTATCTACAATTTCTAATTGGAAAAAAATGTTAGTCAATTTTAAATGTACTAAAGACAACTAATTTAAATGGCCAAACCAGACTGCAATAAATATCGTATGCCTTTTAATGTTTCCACCTGGCAGCTGGAACCGTTACTCACCACATCGCTTAGCTCAAACTTAACGCCTAAATTGTAAATATATTTGGTTTGTTTTGGCAGCAGTTTCTTAATAGCATTGATCCATCCATATTTGCGCACAATATTCTTGCTCCAGCCGTATAAACCACGCATTTCTTTTCAAATATTTATTTTTAATACACAAATGTTGATACAAAACACTGACAGCAATTCAATGGACAGATCCAAATAGACTTACAACGCGTAGAACGTGTTTTGTTATCGAAAATTATGCAATTTAATGATTACACACGACACACGCATACGATTATAGGTCATTTATCACTCACACTCACCACAGGGTCGCAAATAAGAATGTTATTTTGGATAGTTGTAATTAGTTTACTTAACGCTAATGTTACTAATGCTTATAACAAACGAACGCAATTGGAAATGATACATATGTAACAGTCGCAGCCGTGGCTCCCTAAAAGCGGCAGCCACGCAGTTAGTCTTCTTTAAACTGGGACGTTTTCGAATCACCGAAGTAGGCACGATAGATATATACGCCCAGCGCAATGTGCAGTGCGGCCACAGCGCCGACGGCAGATCCAATGTTTACTTTCATATCGGACATGGTGAAGAAGCGTTCCAGAAGGAAGCCTTTAAGCGCGAAGAACGTTATAACGGGCAGGAATACTATGAGGGAGCAATAGAAAAGGACAACCTTAAAGGCGCTGTAGTCTTGCGAGTCCTATAAATTCGAAAGCAACGCGATTAAATACTGCCGGCAATATGGGGAAATTGTGTTTACATACATGTGCACGCTGTTTGGATAGTTTACTTTGGCTACCATCATTTCCGCCGAGAGTTGCCTTCTTGCTTTTGTTGCTCATCTCTGGTAAGTACTTCGAATATTTCAATTGAGCTAATAAAAATGCTTTTAATATTTGTTGTATTGTTTTTTCGACGTGACAATCACATGATAGGCTGGACAAAATTAGTCGATTAAATAGCCTACTGCAATCGAATATTTTTGGCTAGGTGGCAATATTTTATATTTAATCAAATACCGTGCGAGGCGAATATCTAGGGTCATTCATTAAGATATAAATAATAACAAATTAAATGTCGTAAAGAATTTTCTTGCGAAAACAATTGCACGTATAACCAATTGTGAATGAAATATCGATACACGTCCGCTACATTGAATATAATACTATCGTGAATACTTATATCGATGCTTATTATTATTCATCGATATACATCGTATATAGTTTTTATTTTTAACAACTGCCGTCAGCGTCTGTTGTTGTTTCATTCGGTGCTAGTGTGCGTGCATGTGCTCATTTAACTTGTCGTTTTTTCCACAATTTTGTCAATGCTGCTATTTTGAAGTAATTAACTCACTGAAAGCGGCTTGCTGCAGTTGTACAACCGCCGCCGGCAACGCCGCACGTACAGTCGAATATCGAGCGTCGTTCAATACACAACGTGTTTGTTGTTTCGCTTTTGGATTTGTGTTTAATTGTGTCTGTGCGAGTGTGTGCTTTATACAATATATTCTTGGTAAATTTCCACTGCGCACCGAGCACACCGATAGCATCAGTGATGGTATTGACAAATTTCGAGTGCTGGGCACATGGTGAATCTCCTGCTGTCAACTTCGAAATTGAGCCGCCTCCGGCGCGCCATTCACCTGTGGTGGATCCATTCAATGCACGTGTCGTTTCCCACATTGCATCCGCTTCGAATGGCTACTATGGATATTCAATAGTAAACAATGCAGCTGCCTCTTCGGACAACAACAACAACAGTTGCAATAACAACAATGTACAGCCAATGCAAATGCAAGTGGGCGACGTAGGCGTCGCAGCCGGCACTACGCATGACGCTGCCGCAGCAGCGCGCTGCAAGAAGCGCTGCTTTACGATGGGCCATGAAAAGTTGGACATGGAGATGGACAACTTGACGGCCGTCAAGCGGTGCCGTTTTGATGATGCCGATCTGGTAGCACAGTATTGCAACGGTAATTATGCGCATATATCAACTCATAAATTAAAACCTTTAATTTAATGTAATTTTTTTGCGGCTGGCCTTGACTTTTTCACACCGCACAGCAACAAAATGAGCGCTGTTTAATTGCCGCATGCGGTGTAAAAATTTCGTAAATTGTGTTACAAAATCAGATTTTGAAACTTGTTGGCAACACTTTTGTGCGAGCCTATATTAGTTTTCTGGGTCATCCTTATCAACATTTTGATTTTTTTTTCTGTTATCTGAGTGGATTCTTATTTGACAGCAAACACACAAGATAGTCAACAAGTGCCGCATTTGTGATACTCTTTCTTTATGGAATCCCAATGTTGAGTAACTCGATATAAATTATAGCTTATGCAACCAATTAAAAATTAACAGCGGCACATAAAAAATATTACATATAGCTTGTATTAAATATACAAACATACATAATTATGTATGCACACGCTGTCATACATCACTGCACGTACCCCAAAGCTTAAATTGCAGCTCGAAGGAGCAAAGTGGAGCACAATTAAAGCACGCAGAAATTTAACATGCACATGTCAGGCTAAATTTATGGATTTACTTATAAAATAAAAGAGTATCCAAAAGTAAGTGTATTAAATCAAGTAGCTTTAACCCCAAGCGATAAGACCTGCGTGACTGGTGTCTATGTAGTTGCTAGTCTGCTGCCGGCATTTATATACACATACATATGCACATATTGATCCCAGTATACATGCATATGTATATATTCTATGGACCTATTGACTCTACGTAATGAATGAGATCACGCTTATCAGAAAAAAGTTAAGAGACTTAATTTTACTTTTCTGACAGTATTCCATTCTCAAATGTATTTTGTTTATACATACATATATATATATATATATATATATATATTATTAGTACAGTTGCGTTTGCAATTTTAAAGGTATCGCAGTCTGACCTCATGGCAAACAAGTAAATATATATTGAGTGTGCTCAATCCGAAAATACCCTATAGATTGACATCATTTACTAACTTAATATATTTAAATTGGTTTTATTAATAAGTCGAATTAATTAGCGCAATAACCCGAATCTGAAACAAACTTACAGACATCAATTAAAATACGCATTTGTACCTTTTAAAAGAGTTTACACTCCTTTCAATGTGAAGTTAATTATTTGTACGTCCCTTTTAATTCAATGTACCCCATTTTATAGTTTTTAAATACAGGGTATATAAAATAGTAAATTGCCAGTTATCGCTGATTGATCGACCCCATCGACAAGTGTACTATATTTGCTTATATCATTTTCTTTTATAGCCCATTTATGAGCTATCACTTATGCTAGTTTTTATTTTATTTTCTTATTGTGCAACACGGTTATCGCTGGCATTCAGCTAAGCAACGTGCTTAATTGACAATCTCCACATGTTATCGCTGACAACAGTTAGGGGGTCGGGTTAGGGGGTCGGAGGGACGCACCGATAACCGATGGCGGCGTTGCTGTCGCAGTCGCAGCCGTCGACGCCGTCGCCGTCGCCATCGCTGTCAACGCTGCTTACATTATTTACCGGCTATTTATAAATAAACGGTAATTGGGACACTATCAGCGCTGGCGTCGACGCTGACTGCACAGTTGGCATCAGCTTTGCTATTGGCATTATGGAGTACACGAAAAACGCAATTCGAAAATAATAAATTAAATTAAATGTTTATTTTTGATAAATAGTTTGCAACGTTTGTACATTGTGTATATAAATAACAATATATCCACACACAAATACTCATAAAGATTTTTATTTTACAGATTTCTTTTCGCTGCCCGCCACACAAATGATCGGTACGCAGGCCTGCCTCATGGACTACGATTATGATGTGCAACAACAGCAGCAGCAACAGCAGCAGCAGCAACAACAACAGACGCATCAGCAGCTGCAGCATCCACGCATTCATCAACATTATCAAGGTCATTTGCATCGCGCTAACCGTGATGTGAGTCGTTGCATGATGTCGCACATGATCTAGAAATATGTATATGCTCTATATGTGTATACCTGTGTGTAAATATATATATAATGTGTATGCGATATTTGTATACAGCACACTCAGACTCATACAAACACAAGCACACAACATGCAACAGTTCACCGACACGTCTCTCTGTCTGTCACCCCAAAAATTTCCATTTGCCGCCGAATTTGCTTGTATTAAAAGTTGTACATCCAAAAATTTGAATATTACTCACACTCAAACACACATACACACGACACGCACACACACTCAACCATAGAAAGCAGTCGGCGTGCCAACATCGCGTATACTTAATGAGAAAAGCAAATAAGCAATAGAAATGAGCCAAAGCAATTGTTAAAAATATCCACATTTAAATGGCAAACGTATCAATTAATCAATCAATAATATATATATACATATATATTTGTTAATATATATAGTATATATAACATGTGAATTGTTGTATATCGCCGCATTGTACAAACAACAAAAATTGAGTAGAATTATTTGTATTAGTTCTCGCAACAAAACGGTTTTTGAATCTTTAATGTACTTAAAACGAAATTGAACATTTAATAATTATTACATAACTTACACTTAAACGTTGCAATGAAACTAACACTTAAGTAATCTGTAGTTAAGTCTAATTTAGAATTAAGCTCAATATTTGTCAAAATTGGCGCAAGCTTAACAAGCAAAAAGCGGCCTTTCACAAAGTATTTGCAACACAGTTTTGTGGCATTTTGTAACTCAAAGTACAACTACACTGCTACAAAACTTCATGGAGTTTGTAGTTTGTACGCTGAATTAACAGCTATATAATGCTGTTTTTTCTCCTCAATCTTTCTTCTTTATCTTTATTTACTGATGTACACTTTGTTCCTTATCATCTAACTTATTTCCGATACACAAGCATCTTGTCTGTTATCTTTAGTGATATGTGCAATTTTTATTATCGTGCCCCGTTTGATTTTTGTTTAGACTTTTAAAGATATTAATCATTCGCTGGCAATCAACAAGTTGTAGTACACTCATCAATAATTATAATTTGACAATTTTCTTGTGATTTTAAGTTTTTTTTCTGAAGCAAAGTGTAATTCTCAAACCTTCCTAAATTTATATCTCCAAAAAATCAATGCTATTTTTGTAGTCTTTCCAATCCTATGAAAAAGTTTCATCTTCCCTTCTTTTTCTTGAATCTGTGGAAAAAGAAACTTCAACTTTTACTACTTCTTTTTTTATGTACTATTTATTTTCCAAAATATTCTTTGGGTTTGAATTTTTTCAAGCCAATGAAGAATTCTTTTTTCAGATTTCAAACCTTAGACGAAATTTGTCTGCTAATATAGAAATTTAAAACGTTCTGATCCTCTGTTCAGTTTTGATTAAAGCTTTTTTTTGAGTTAAATGTTCTTATCTATACATAAGATTTCACAATGTTCTTTGGTGGCACTGATATATTGATAATCCTGCTAGAATCATTTGATTATTAATTTCAGTCGCTTTTAATTTTTTTCTCATGTTTCTCTATTCCTATAAAGAACTCGACATGCTTCGTAATTGTTATTAATTGCGATAAAAGGTCATTTCTGATTGAACTATGTCAAATTTTTGGTTAGGAATATTATGATTCTGTTTTTCTTCTTATGTCCATTAAGTTTCATACATTAGTATGATATTTCTTCGGATCTTAAATCTTTCCTTCATGATCTTTGAGAATAATTTTGTTTTCTTGATCGATGATAATAACATTCTATTTCAATTGCTATTTTTCAAGGCCTTCAAGAATTCTCTTCTTTATAGACCTATATCGATGCGAAGAATTCAAAAGCAATTATAATTTTTATTTAATATTTTCTTTCTGAAATATATACCTTTTTAATTTTTTCACCTTCCTAATGTTCGTTGATGACTTATCTTCTCCAAACCAAGGAAAAAGTCACCTTTAAACCGCCAAAGCCTTCATGGTATGTA